CGGCCCGAAGATGTGAACCCGAGCCTCCATAATTAGGGGTGTCCGGGACCGTGAGCTGGAACTCCAGTCGTCGTAGCCAATAGTAGTACTGGCCAGTAGTAGATTTTTTGCGTTTTGGCAGGTTGGATTTTGCAATTACGCGGGGTTTTGTAATTACGTTCTGGAATTTGGATTTTGCACTTACGCGGTGGTTTGTTAATATGAGGTGAACATTACCTGCAATATCGTACCCCTAAAAGGTTTCCCCAATATGGCCCCAATAATTTTGCCTCAATATAGCCCTTCTGTGAATCAATGTGGTCCTCTCGGGTTTAGGGTTTCGAGGGTTCCTGGGTTGTACTCCTAATGCCGTACCCCTAAAAGGTTTCTCCAACGTGGCTCCAATATGCCCTTATATGAACCAATGTCGTCCTTTGGGCTTGCTCAAAAGGGTCCCAAGAACTAGGGGGTACAACCCTAGGGTTTAGGGTTTAGGGTTTTGGGGTTTAGGGTTTAGGGTTTTGGGGTTTAGGGCTTAGGGTTTAGGATCCTAAAGCCCCAACCCCAGACCTAGGACCGCAGACAGCGTGACTCAAGGAGGCGCAGATCTAGTTGACTTGTGGGAGGACCCGGGGCTCATTCCTTCAGAGCATTTGCAAAGGCAGTTTAGGGGTTACGTAGGGTTTAGGTTTCAGGGTTTAGGGTTTAGGGCTTACTGCAGAACCCTGAGGCCCAAAGTCGATAAAGAATGCATACAGTTCACGATAATGACAGCCATTGGGTTATTTGGAGTTCTAGGGACCCTAACCCTGGGTAAGGCTGCGGAATCACGCAAATTATTCCTTCATAATCCGTGCATAAATAAGCTATAAATCCTTACATACTTAGTCTATAAACGCCCAAATAAGTCAAGCATAATGTAGCAAGACCTGGCCGACCAGTACACCCGCCCTGCACAACAGAGGAGTTCAGCAGCTACGTCGCAAGCCGGCGTCGGGGTCTTGATGACTTAGGGTTTAGGATTTAGGATTTAAGGTTTAGCGTTTTGGTGATTCAGGGTTTAGGGTTTCACGTTTCTTTTGTGGCAATCGGGTCGCTGTCTTCTTGCTGCCTGTTTGTAGGGAACGAAGGGATGAAAACACGGTGGAAATCATTATGTGATTGTGGATTATGTGGGGGCTGCTATAATGATCCTTGCCTCTTTATACTGGCAATAACAAAAGTGTTTAACACCTTGCTGGCTGCGATCCCAGATAGCGAGAGAGCCCAGGAACCCCAACAGGCTCTCTTGTCATGGCCAGCTCCTTTGTGGTGCCCACTGTCTCAGATGTTCTGATGGTGCGGTTGGCTGTGAGATCTAAAGCGGCTTCTAGAACCCAACCCCTAAACCATGTTCTAGCTGGTCACTAAATGTGGATGAGGCAAAGATGGCACAGCGAGCTGGCATGTTGTAGTCTTGCAGGTCGGCAAGGCGCCTCCGTCAAAGTCTGGCTGAAATTTGGTGCTGTGCTTGTAGGCAGTTTAGCGATGACTGGGTTACATTCTAAAGATGCTATTCTAAGCCGCTGTTCCCGGACGTTTGCCTAGTATGTCCTTGCGAGGGCACGGAAGATGGCGCAAGGTTCGCGATGGTCGCCGCTTGCCTCATAGCCCTGGCCTACTCTGCCCTGAATGGAAGCATGCTGTTTTCATCTTTAGGGCTTAGGAATTTGGATTTTGGGCCTTCCATACTGTTGAAGTCGACATGACGGACACACATAGCTGCAATCCTGAATTTCTCTATGAATGTCAATGAACACTGCCTGCAGGTACCTTAAACTTGGTAATTCAGAGTTCCTTCCCGGTCTGTCACATCTCCATGCATGGGTTAGTTGTGGTTTCTATACGTATTATATCGGGATATTCAACAGCAATAATGGAGAATCACATGGACAAGCACACGGAAAACTAGACGGAAAGTGGGATTGTATTCGTATTTGTATAAACATATATATATATACACGCATTCATTTGTTCAGTTTTTAAATACAGATAGATATAAGACCTCCCCAAATATCACTATGATGTATTTCCATAAGCCCTAAACCTTAAACTCTGAAAGGAAGTGCTTCGCCACCGCTATGCGGCCTTGCTGAAGGAGCTTTCGACGCGGGTGATTCTCTACCAGACTTGGTGTCTTCTCGCAGTTCATAGGGCTTACGGTACGGTTCAGAGTTTAGGGTTTAGGGGTTAGCATTTGGGGTTGAGAGTTTAGCATTTAGGGTTCAGAGTTCAGCGTTCATCACTTGTGGATTTCATCCTTAGGGTTCAGGGTTTGCGGTCTGTTAAAGATCAGGGTCTAGGGTTTAGGGTTGATGTCTTGGCCCCATTGTCAAGATCATTATTCAGGGCAAGGGCACGTGTTGTTGATGGTATTGTCTGACTGGCGAAGTGTGGATGCTGGCTCATATCTCCAAAGCCCAGCCCTTAAACCCTAGACCCTAAACACACCCAATTTGTATGTGGGTAGTTCCCAAAATTAGAGACCCATTTTTGTACCTCTAAATATTAGGTGCCGTAATTTATCCTATAACCAAAAGGGGCCCATAATGTTGAGAACAACCTATGTGGACCTAGAACCCAAGAATAAGCCTGCCACGTGCCCTGTTAGAGCTGCAACTCGGCCAGGATTACCGCTTGTTGGGTTATTCGGGTTTAGGGTTCAGGGTTCAGGGTGTAGGGATTGGGGTTTAGGGATCGGGGTGATCCCAAACCCTGAATCCTGGGGATCTGGTAGGGGGATCCACCCCCTCATCCTCTACTAAGCACCAGCTGTATCGTTGCTCGGCGGGGATTAAACCGCGCTACAACCAGGTCATATGGTATGGTGGCATATGGTAGTACTAGGATAGATATAGCACTAGTGAGCTGCAATTGGCCTACCTATAAAATCCAAAAATCCTACATCATGCTAGTTGCCGTTTCCTTTTGGATTTGGTTCTAACTTATTTGAGGTCATATCACTACACCCCTAAACCCAAGAAGCGTAGTGGGCTTAAGTATACATACCCTACCTACTGTTGGTAAAAAAATCATGCATGACCTTACTATAGGTTTAGGGTACTTAGGGTCAGGCAGAACTTTGGGTATCCACTGTAGTTTGTTGTGACAGCTGCAATCGCAAGGTCTGGTCCTTGGCCCGAGCGGAACGAGGTGGAGGAGTTGAACCGAACAGCTGAGGCATTGGATTTGTTGGGTTGAGGGTTCAGGGTCAAGGGTTCAGGGTTCGGGATATAGGGTTTCGGATATGCAGGGTTCACTGTTTACTGTGAGGGCTTATTGTATACATGGCAAAATCCCAACTATGGGGCTCGATTGGCGCCCTAGTAGTACACAGCCTTTGGTGCGCAGGGTACCTGAGATCGGAGTTTTCTTGAAAACCCTACATCTGTGTCAGAGTTTGCATGAAAGAGGGGTCCCAAACCGTTATGATCCAAATCTTCTCAATCCCCGTACATCCCCTATGTCCACCTTTAACACGTTAACCCTAAGCCCTAAACCGCATGAAGCCCCCATATGTCTACACTCCTTAATTCCTGAAAGGGTGTTATATACGGGTTTATGTAGCGGACTTCTATAGGGAGTTTGAAGGGGAAACTCGGAGTTTCGACTATAGCTGCCTTAAACCCTTACACCCTAAGAGTTCAGACTATAGCGTGCGTAGGATTCAAAGGAGGGGAATGCGAAAACCAGATGGAGCTGGGGTTGTGTCGTGTGTTTATAGGGTTTAGGGTTTAGGATGGTTTAGGGTCTAGGGATCAGGGTTTTGGCTTCTGAAGTTGTCTGTAGGCTTATAATGTTGCACCGGGTTCCCGCTAAAAATAGGGCCCCCAGAGACTTGAAAGATAGACGTCTTAAATGAGGGGTCACCAGATCTAGAACCACGTCCAATCTCTTAAGTCTTCATAAGTGTGAAGTTACACACCTTCCCTTATGTTTTGAGCCCCCAAAACAAAACATATGAGACATGGCTTTCCAAACCATGGCCGGAAATGAATAAAAAGCGGCTGCTTGAACAAGGGTCTCCTGACTACCCTAAACCCTAAACCCTATAAGACGCCCTAAACCCCTAACCCTAAACCCTATGGGAGGGGTACGCCGCTAGGATCCTAGGGGATGACGGGGGTCCCGTATTCGGGATTACACGGGGGCCGTTTTGTCAACTGCCGGGTTGAGTGGGTGTTATGAGTGATATACTGGGTGTAGGGTTTAGAGTTTAGAGTTTTAGGGTTCAGGGTTTAGGGTCTTGGGTGTAGGGTTTAGAGTGGCTAGCAAATCTTCATGGCATTTCATCACCGAAAAGATGAATCACATGGAGTCCCTCTGAGGACTTTATAGTGCAGGGATTGTTTCCGCCGAAACTAACACGGAACCCCGTATCACAGAGCTCCTTTTGGAAGGACTGTCGTCTTCAAAGGGCCAATTCCAAGGTACCAGGTTGTTAGTTGGAAGGAGGGACTCCTGCCCCTAAATTTCTAAACCCTTAACCGCGTATGGCTCCGAGTGGCTGTTTGCTGAGTTGTGAGTTCATACCTTTTCAGATCACGTGTCATTTCTAGACATAACCAGTGCCCTGGCAGACGGAAAAGTCCTTTGGCTTATGTAGAAACGCTGCGTGTTCGTACCTCCAACCAGGTCGGCTGCGGTTCTGCTGTGACTTCCAAGCCCTATATAGTCCTGCCAGAAAACTTCCCCTTTGCCTGGCAAGCGTTTACTACCAGTGACCCCCAAAGACTTAACTTTGATTGACATATGTGCCGGCTTTATTCTATTTAGGCCAGACATAGGTTCCGATGTACGATATCACCTTTCATGGAGGCTCCCAAAACGGGACCCAGCTCTTGAAACACTCCGACATTGCTCTTGCGCTCACGCTCTCTCTCCTTCTGGCCTTGCAGGAGTATTCGGCTGCGTTGCTGTCTGAAGGGGTATCTGCCACGCGCTCGCATTAGTGCTCCACAGCTGTCCGATCTGCTTTACAAGGGTCTAGGGTTCAGGGTTTGGAAGAGGTCCTGTTGTTAGTTGGCCACATTGATAATGTACATCTCATCTTGGCTCAGGGTACGCCCGCTGACAAATGAAATTTCCAAGGATTAACATTTACACGGGTGCAACTATTCAATGTTTCGAGGCTTCCCCCCAAAGCCTCTACTACAATAATTATTCCCCAAATCCCAAGTACTAAGCTTTTGGATTCTTGGACCTTCGGGAAGTTGCATCCCTTCCAGATGCAAAGTTCGCACCTCTGCCAAAAACTTCCCCATGAGCAGGTAAACACTTTTCTTAACTTTGCTTAGTTGGGAATGAAGGAATGGAACTGGGAAACTATTATAGTGGCCTAGATAGGAAATACTATAACGATCCTTTCCTGCCGATTTGGGAATTTCGAGAACTAGGGGTCCCCCTTTTATACCCAGACTGCTATACCCCAGTAGTAGGAGAACCCCACAAGAAGTATAGTTCCCCTTAAGTAGAATATCGGGTTTTATAGGGATTATATAGCGATAATGGAGAAGATAATGGAAACTAATATACACCCCTAAACATGTTTTTGGAAAACGCACTTGAGGTGATAGCCACCTCGGGATCCCCCTTACTTGCCCAGGCGGACACTGGGCCCTACCATGAGGGCCCCTTTGCTAGAGACCTATGAGGTTGTTTCCCAAAATTAGGGGTACCATTTTGGGAGTCCTTTAATAAGGACTATAGTTTTTTGGGGTCTATATTGGGGTTCTCCTACTTTGGGAAAGTACCATGATTTCGTAGCTAGGCATTGCACAGCCCAAGTTACAAGACGGAAACATCCTGGCGTTTCTTATATACTTGCTAGTACAGATATCATGTGCAGTACGCCTATGGATTTTTGAAGAAGCTCTCACTTGACTGTAGGGCTGTGCAGGTGGTTCTCGCCAGGGTGGGACATGCCTTTCTTCAAGTCCGAGCTGCATCGGCTGAGAACGACCGCCTCTATCCAGCTTTGTGGAAGGAGACAGGGAGATCAGGTGTGTAGCTTCATTGCAGGTTATTGTGGTTTTAGGGTTTAGGATTTAGAGTCCCCATGATAGAGTAACATTATATCCTCTTTGGGTATAGTGCTCCAGGGGAGGAATGACATCTTACTTGGTCCACCCACCCAAGAATGCATGCTCTTCAGGTCATGCCATGCCAGGTCTCGGTGACCCAGTCCGAGAAGTACTAAACGAAGTGTTGAACTACGTTGAATGCAAAAAAAACAATCCATAGTGACAAAGGCATAAAGATCTACTGACAGGATATTTTGGAACATGCCTGTCCTCTTGAAACGAGACTTGTCCTGGAACATCCTGTGTATTCTGTTGAAACACTAAACCTCAAACGTTAAACCCTACAATAGTCCCCTATTATACCCGCCTAAGCGCTAAACCCTAAACTGCCCTAAACCCCTTTACATGAAGAGTTGAACCCCCAGTTTGACAAGCAGTCGCTATTGCCCTTGACCAGCAGCGTGGCCCAAGAAATGCACGAAGCAGGCGGAGCCCAGTAGTATAGGGGCCTACCACTATGGGCTATTAGACCCGAAAAAAAAATTAGGACCCTATTAAGGGTAGATTAAGGTACCCTTAAGGTCTAATAGCTCATAGTGGTAGAAAATTACCAATATTATAGTTCCATATTTCCTAGGGTTTAGGCTTTAGGGCTTAGGGTTTAGGGATAATTACTAATGGTTCCATATTCCTTATAATTATGGTCTATGTTACCTCAAATGGAGCTCAACATGACATTTGTAATTATTTCGGCCCCAGTACGTATAGTCCACCTTATGCCCAAATGGGCTTAGGGTTTAGGGTTTATAAGGTTTAGGGTTTAGGGCCATAGCCCCCCTTATGCCCAAAGGGGTTTCGGGTTTGTAAGGTTTAGGGTTTAGGATTATAGTCCCCGTTAAGTAGATAGAATAGGGCTTTGGGTATACTATAAAAAGATCCCATATACTCTATATTTTATCTACTGAAGGGGGACTATAGTTTCAGAGCTTATCCTATGGGTTTCCACCTTTTTGATGGTTCACTAGAAGAAGAGTAGAACAAAGATTGCAATATTTGGAGTTTATGCAGGGGACCCTCAAGCTGTGATAGAGGACCTGTAACTCTACCCGCTGCACATGCAGGGCAGTCACCTCGCCACCTGTGCCTCAGGGTCAGGGTTTTACCCCAAACCCTAAACCCTAAACCCCTAAACCCTAAACGGCTAAACCCTAAATCCACTCCTCTAAGCATCGGTAGGTCACCCAAAGCATCTCTCGCGAGTTAAGAGCCTCGCTGCGTCTCAGCCATCTACTTACTATCCCCAATAACCACTACATAACCCTGGTATCACCCCTAGAAGCCTGTATTTCCCTTTAGCAGGGAGCCTGTAGACCCTCATTCGTAGGCAGACGCACATTATCACAATGCTCCATCGGCTTGTGCCCTTAAAGTGGATTTCGATCCCAAATACCATACTCTAAATGGTTTGGGTACACAAACGCCCAACGTGTGGTCTATGTAGACAAAAAACCCAAGTTATTACATGATATGCCTACACGCGGTCTAGAGTGCAGGGTTTAGTGTTCAGTGTCTACCACGGACACCCAACCCCAGACCCTAAGCCTGTTCCTACGCGTTACAGGCAGCACTCATGTTCACTCCTTTTTCGTAATTCGTAATATATGGCATTTTCCCAAATAGGGGGCCTTATTATTGGGACCCCTAAAATGGTACCCCTAACTTTGGGAAACCCCCATATATCTACTTAGGATGGAAGCAAGCCCCTTAACCTTTCAACGCTAAGCCCTTCAACTCTTGGACTCTACACCGAAGGCCCTTAAAACCCAAGGCAAAAGCCCTCAACGAGGGTTTAGGGTTAAGGGTTTAGGATTTAGGGCTCACACCTAAAGCCCCAACCCCTAAACCCTGAAGCCCTTAAACCCAACACCCTAAACCCTGAAGCCCTAAACTTGTAGTTTCCATTTTCTTTTCCGTTATACCCATAGATATATACATATATATATATACAGAACGTGACG